GGCGACGCTCCAGCTAATCAACACTCTAGACATCGTCCACACGATCTGCTATTCGATCCTCCTGTTGAATACAGATTTGCATCTTGCGGATATCGACCAAAAGATGACCAGGAGCCAGTTTATAAAGAATACCATGCCCACAGTCCGGAGAAGCGTGGCGGATTTGCCGCCCGACACGTTTGACCCATCAAGGCCTTCGATCTTGCCCGGGAAGGGTTCAACCTTCGAGTCTATCAAGTCGGATGATAGCTGCCCGGCGAGTACAGAGAAACATTCGGTCGAAGTCGAACGCCCCTCGTGGAGAGCATCCTTCAAACCTGCTCCGCGGATGGACTCGGACGGGACAGTGCCCACGCCGCTGGACTACGACACCCCTGTTGATGATTGCGGGCCGCTGGTCAAAGCACCCTTCAATGGTACCTTACGAACATGGGAGGTACAGGTCGAGATCGTGCTGAAAGATTTCTACAACTCTATCCGGAGTGAACGCCTGCCCTTGTTCGGCGCGACTACAGACAGATCGCTCCTTCAGGCCCCTTCGTCGAACAGCCTGTCACTATTCACGAATGGGGTGCTGCGAAGATCGCCCAGTGTGTTGAGCAAAGCGCCATCAGAAGCTCAGAGTTATGTGCGGGGCAGAACAGCCGAGACATTACGAGTGGGCAACGGCAAATGGTCGAGTAAGAATCGGTCCCGACCTCGTCTGTATTCCGGTTCGGGAATAAATTCCAGCCGAACCAGCCTGGACGATCAATCTTCCACGTGGAGCCCATCTGTTTCAACCAGTACGTGGAGCAAGTACTCGCTTGGAAAGACGCCAACATCCATGTCTGTTGACTCTATTGGCTCGGGATTTGTTCAGGGTGACTACCAGCAGTCCATCGGGTTCGCCAATGCTCTCAGCCAAGCAATCATCCGCGAGGAGACCATCGGAAGTGCTGGGAGTACGGGTAGTGAGCGTGGAGAGTACGACGAGCCTCGGGTTGCCCCTTTGCTGGAAGATGAATCTCTGGAGTTGCATGGGGCTCCATGGGCGAAAGAAGGAATTGTCAAGCACAAGCATCACCTGGAGGCTCTGGATAAGAAAGCGAAGGACCGCAATTGGAACGAGGTATTTGCCGTGATCGAGAAGGGCTACATGAGCTTGTTCTCCTTCTCGTCCAAGAGCAAGAGCAAGGGCAAGGCTGCTGGAGGAGTCGTCGGGGGTGGTAATTGGCAGGAGAACGCCAAGAGCCTCGGCTCATTCCTCCTCAGGCAGACCATTGCCAGTGCGCTTCCATCGCCAGGATATTCTAAGGCGCGTCCCCATGTCTGGGCCCTGTCACTGCCAACGGGAGCTGTTCATCTCTTCCAGGTCGGTACTCCGGATATCGTCAAGGAGTTCGTTTCGACGGCCAACTATTGGAGTGCCCGCCTATCGAACCATCCCCTTGTGGGCGGCATCTGTAACATCGAGTATGGTTGGTCCGACGCCGTCGTTAACAACTCGCTGGTCCACGCTATCAACGAGTCGACCAGACCATCGACCAGACATAGCATGCAGAGTTCTCGATCTCTACGCTCTAGCGTGGATCATCCCTACGGTACATCCTTCAAAGCTCGACTCCCTGGAGACAAGATCACCATCTCGGACTGGACACCACCAACTCAGAGCATGAGGGCAAGCAACCTGATGGAGGCCGATCAATTGCGCACTCTGTCGGACTATGTTGCTGGTATTGAGGAGGAGCTGCAAAAACACAACGAGTTGCGAAGCCCTATGTTGCTTGCCGTAAGTCATCTTCCAACGGCACCTATTTGGACCTCGCTAACAAATCTCAGTTTACCCCACGGCATCCTAATTCCCAGAAAGCCATGGCAAACTGGGAAAGAAAATCCTCTTATCTTCTCCGCGAGATTGTCAAGTTTACCACGTACATCGACTGCTTACAAGCTGCCGAGGCGGGCAAGCAGGCAATATACTCGGAACGCGCAGAACGACTCGTACCTGAGGGCAACGACGATGATAGCGATGATGATGCTAATAATACGCTCCGACCAGAGTAAGGTGTGAAAGATCTGGTGTTCTTGGCACAACTTCTCAATATCGAGATGAGACTTATGTTCAACGTGCTCCCCTTATTGCGATTCCACCTTTGGCGCTTCTCCTTCTGAAACACATACACTCGGATTGCTTGTGCACGCACTGGAGTTTCCATACACCCATATACCTACGTGCCCTATTTGAGTACTTCCTTGCTATCTGGCTTGTATTCTGAGGGCCGAGAGGCGGGTGATGGCTTGCTTGCATGGGTTGGATGAGCATATTTTGCTTCATGCTTTTGGCCGGCGTTGGGGCTTTGTTTTTTTAGTTTATACCCATTCTCGTGTTCTTTATTCTTATTTCCGTGTAGCCGCTTCTTGCTTGCAGATAGATAAGAGCCGGGCTGTGCATGGTGGGTGGGGGCCCTTTCTCTTCAATTTTTTTATTACCGATGGATTGAATGAATAGATGTTCTGCTGGGCAGGGAGGCGCTTGTGGATAGAGGTAGAGAGAACGGAGGAGATAATGACGGAAAGAAAGAGAATGAAGGGGTCGTTACATATATGAATGAAGTATGAATGTCATGAGCCAGGCAGCAGGTTTATCCGGACGAAGACAAATAAGAGAGGGACCTTTTGGTCGGATTCTTAATTAGGTTTTGCTGTTTCATGTTGGAAAGATGGGCGGGGGGCAGACGGTTTTCGCTCTGTTTCTAAGAATACCGCTATTTCCGCAGTTTCACCCGACGTGCGTACCCGAAGTAAAATCATCCAACTTCTACCAAAATTTCGCTCTTCCTGTGTGTGTGTGTGTGTGTGTGTGTGTGACATCTGGGGAAAATAAAAAGATGCCGCCGGTCCTCGATACCCCCCGGGCACCCACAACCAGACAAGACAAGACAGGGCTCACGGCGATTGGGGGATCGTCGCAGCCCTCTGACCCTTCCGGTCTCGTCTCCTGACTGACTCTTCCTCCTCTCCAACCAAACTCGGAAGGGGGGAGAAGGAGAGCATGAATCCCCATCATCATCATCATCATCATCATCATCCACCGAACCCGTCTGTCTCCCCGGCGCCTCTGGTACCTACTCGGATACCTGGACCCAGTTCATGGGGCTGTTCCGTTTGTCCCGTTTGTTTTGTTTTGTTTTGTTCTGTTTTGTTTTGTTCTGTTCTGGAGGGCTTCGGAAGGGAGCGGAGGGCTTCGGAGGGGAGCGGGAAAAAGGTGGTCTCGGATACTAGGATGGGAAGTACCTATTTATTCTGGTGTGTGGTGAGTTTGTGAGTTTGTGAGTTTGTGAGTAGCGTCAGGTCTGCCCGGTGGGGAGTTTCTTCTCCAGCCTCCTCGAGGAGTTTCTTCTCCAGCCTCGAGGAGTTTCTCGGCCTCTCGTTACGACGCTTCTAGAACGCGGCTGCTGGCCTCCCTGGCGTGCAGGATGGGGCGGTAGGATAGGGGAAACCAGGTTCGCCCGTGCTCGTCTGACCTGGTGGCCCACTGGGTTGCGAGAGGGTCAGTGAGGGAGTTTGCTACTGTATCTACGTGGTTTGTTTTGTTTTGTGTTTGGGGGGGAGTTGATGGACGTTCTCTCGAGGCTGAATTTTTACGTCTGGCCGTAAAAAAAAAGGGGGGGGTTTTTTTTGTTTTTTTTTAATATATGGCTCCGTGCAAGGACTTGTTGTTACTTACTCCCAAACCCATCGGGCCGCGAGACATGTCTTCTTCTGCAGTCTCCAGCGTCCACGGCGCCCAGCCGCTCCGAGCCTGCGACAGGCTGTCCACGGTCAACATCGCCTGCTGCAGCTCGGCGAGGATGCCCACCCGCTGAGGATCCTCCCGTCTCCCATCCTCGAGCTGCTCGTCCGCACGCCACACCAGCGGTGGTGGCGACGCGCAGTCCGACTCGGGATACTCGAGGAGCCAGGGCTCGGTCGTCCAAGGCAAGTCGTCCTCACCCAAGCGGAACTGCGACGGAAGCGGCGGGAGTGGCCTGTCGACGACCCTCTCCTCAACACGGCCTATTGGCATGCTCGGCGCGTGTAGGAGAGGGCCCCGAGTTCCGCTTGGGGTCAGAGGGGGACTCGAGGGATCGGACCGCAGGTCGGATAGAGAGGATGGCGATGGCGGTGGAGCGGAACGTGGCCTCTGCTGGCTATCATCGCCCCCCGTCCTCTCACACGCTGCTCTCCTTCTCAGCTGATGGTAATACGGCTGTCGTTGTTGTTGTTGTTGTTGCTCAGCGGCGTAATGCTCGCTGCGAGAACAACCCCCGCTAAGCGGCGTGGGGGTGAACGACGGACGCTGGCTTTCAAAACTCGCGGCTTCGTGCGCCTGAGAGTGCGGATCCCATCCCGGTGATGCAGGCTCTTCCCGTGGCCGCTGCTGCTGCTGCCGGCGCCGTCGATACAAGCTCTCTTGCAAGCCTCGCGGAGTTCCGTACGCCACGGAAGCTATACGTGGATCTTCGCCACGATTCGAGAATGAGACCCCGAATTCGACCCTCACGAATAGACCGGGCCAGGAAACTCGATGGGGGCTCCGGAGACGGGAGTGGCTGCCAGCAGGAGGAGGAGGAGGAGGAGGATGATGATAATGATGATGATGATAGCAGGGCTCCCAGCTCGCCATGGCTTGAAGAGACGGGCCGGTGGGAGGATCCACGGCGCCAACAGATACGCCCGTCCGTGATGCAGGAGTGGGAAGCTGGCTTCCTTCTGAGGCAAAACTTTTCTTTTCAAGCGCGAGATCGGTACAATGCGGTCGACGGTGCCATGTCTGGTTATTTCAGTTGGGGATGGGGAGGGGCCGTTTTATGACCCAGAAAGATGGAGATGAAGATGATGAAGATGAAGATGTGGGTATGACGAGAGAGGGGGAGAGAGAGAGAGAAGGGTTCACGGATGACGCCGCGCTTGTCTCGTGCGCGCTTTTTGGGGCGGCACAGCATTAGGTGGCTAGAACGCCACTTGCAGATCATGGAAGGCATCGCGGCGACGAGGTACATGCTCTTCTGCTGCCCTCTTCTTTTCCTTCTGGCCTTCGCTGGGTTTTCTGGATTAGGAATAGACTCAGAGTTGTGATGAAGTTTCCGATCTGCTGTTCCTACTCTATTACAGAAGCGAAGCGAAATGAAGTGAACGAGCATGACCGTGCATAGAAAAAAATGTATAAAAATAGCCGGGGATGATGGTAAGCCGCAAGTCAGCTATGGAAATAGAGAGATACCTGACTGGGTATGGAATACATCGTTGCCAGAGATCATTCTGCATTGCATTGTATTGGGATTGCATTGGATTGGAAGCCAGCTCGAAGGATCGACAGAGGTCCACCCCAGTATCTATTTATCTATCTATCCTCTCCCCAACAGATCCGTACTACGTACGGGTACAGACAGAAAGAAACACTTCAAACATCTGGAGGGTGGCAAAACAAGAAGCGCAGACTTCCGAATCACCTCGATGCGCGCGTCATATCGCATTGCAACGCGAGGTTTCCACTCCGGCCCACGTAGGCTGATCAGTCACACACAAAACCTGCACTCCGTTCGTCCTATGCTTAACCCCATGAGCATGCCTTCCTTCCTGGGCTTGGTCCATCAATCACCACAGCAACGCAAGTGGCCCAGGATCGCAAGCTGCAGCCGTCCAGACGGCGTCCGCATCTCCGGAGCAGCACGTATGTATATACCCAGGCAGGCCCGACCAGACAGTCCGTCCGTCCGCCCGTCAGGAATTGTCATCCGGCTCTGCCATCGTGGGAATGGAGTAGTGGAACTCGCTGTTGCAGCCACAGCTTTCGTCTCTCGGACCCAGAGTTGTTCTCTACTGTACTACCGATAATAATACTCACCGTTTTGACTGGGAAGGTCTCGTTTGAGCGGGTTCCCCGGCGCCCGTCCTCACAGTCGGGAAAACACGCAGAGGAGATCCTGCGTGGCACTTTTCAATTGTGGAGTAGGTGGTGTGAATCTGTACTGTACCGGTACGTTCCCTATGCCCCCAAGAAAGGCGACGTCGGGGTGAAGATCAATTCGCCGTGTCGTTCCGGCGTTGGGCTCCGTTCTGAGTGCGCGAAGAAAAAATATTTTACGGCTAGGTTCATATATCCAGATGGGTTCCCGACTGTTATCCAGTAGCAGCAATTGGGCTAGACGTGCTCTCTTGTCGGGTCACCTGGTGTAGTTGGATCAACAAGATTGGAACGATTAGGGGCCGAGTGGTTAAGAATGTACCGAGCCACCAAACCACGCGGCGGAATTTCGATACGACAAGAGATTAGGCAATCGACACCGGGCTGAACTATTTTTTGTGTTTTTGGTGTTTTTTCATACAAAATTTTCGGTCTTTTTAGAGCTGGGAGGAGACGAGAATCTTTTTTTGGGGTTATTGATGACGGCGCCTTTTAGCGAAGCGAATCTCAGACAACAGCCGGAATCCCAGCGAGGTAGTCGCAGAGTTTAGGCGGGAGCTCGTTTTGGGTTTCTATGAGGGTGGAAAGCTTGCGGCTCATTGATGACGACGACCCGTAACACGGGACAGCCATCTAGTGGCTCGAAGAACGAAGTTTGTGGTCCACCGATATGAGTTTGACTTCTAAAGCAAGAGACAGGTATCATGCATGCAACGTGACTTCACATCCCGTATAACCTCCCACGCCTCGAGAGAAAACGGAATATAAAATCCAAGAGCAAGAGACCGAGGGTATGAGAACCATCCGCCTCCGCTCCCACGCAAAAGCAACGTCACGAACTGGACGGATGCGCCGCAACGCCACGAGTTGACGGACCACCCTTCTCTGCTTCACTCGCCGGGTTCTTCGCCGCCTCAACCCTCCCCTCTTGATGCGTATCCCAGAAGTTGTGGTTCATGTTACGTCCCTTCACCATACCCGCAAAGTCAAAGGGATCGAGGAACGTGACGAGAAAAGGTCTCTTGTCCAGATAGCCCGGGCCTTGGATCTCGGTTACTCCGTCTTGGGCCAGGTAGATCGTGTTGTCCCTTGGGATGAAGCGCATTGGATGTCTGAAATTGAGGAGGAACGAGTTTATGATCATGAGTACACCTTCGAAGACCCAGAAGAACCACTCGTAGCGTATGATGGGGGAAATATCTGATTGCTTGGTCGTGTCGGTGGCGTGCAGGCTGGAAACTGTGAAGTATTCGACTGTGCGGTAGATGGTCCGAACCCCGATCAGTGTTGATGAGATGTACAGGGTGATTAGTGCGGCGTGGAGATTGGGGGGTAGCAGTTTCGCTTTCTTGCATCGGCGGTGGAAGTGCGCTGCTAGCAGGATGAACAGTGCAAGGATAACGAGCTGGAGGATGAGCGCCGACTTCAGCAAAGCTTTACCGACATCTTGTTTCGATTGAGAAAGACTGGTGTTGGCTGTGTAAGCTGCACCGTTCCCATTCAATGCTTCCACAACGACTGACAACGCGCCGAATGTCGTGAGGACTCGACCGGGATGGATTGGCGAGTGGTAGGGTACGTAGTAGAGGGCCCGGGATAACATGAAGTAGTTGGAGAGTTCATACAAAGGTCTATGGTCGTCAACGTCGACAGGGAATCTATTCGAGAGCGGACACAACTTACGGAGCGCAATAGATGAAGACGAGACTAGCGATGAACACATTGAGGTTGTCGTAGTTGAAGGCTCCGACTTCTCGAAGAATATAACCGACAACGAAGAGGCAGGAAGCCCAGGGCAAGATGCCGGACACTTTCCAAGATTTGTAGTGTCTTTTGGTGGTCATTTTCTTGCTCATTGGACGTAGAGATGAAACTCACATGCATTGCCAGATGTGCCAACACCCAGAGACGAGGAATAGAAATGCGAAGACGACAGGAGCGGCCTTGTTGGGGGCATAAAACCACAGGCTACCCTCAACTAATGAATATCAGTCGATCTCTCAATACACAAGTCTCTGATCCTCTGAACAGTCTTACCATATTTACCCTTCTCCATCGTAGCTTCAGATATGTGGTTCAAGGTCGAGTGCCGGAGGTGCTTTGGGTTCGATCAGCAGATCAGGCCTGTGTAACAAGCAAGTTTTATTCTTACGAGTAGCTTTGGATCTCTTGGTCATTTATAGTGACATAGGCAATGAGGGTACACTTCAAAATGCGGAATGAAGGTGAGCACATCGAGACTGCAGCATGGGGGTAGCGTCAATATATAAAAAAGCTGCACACCAGATCTCTGATGATCTCATGGCTGTCCTTTCCTTCTGTAGCCGTTGTAAATACGAGGAGCCCTGCGATAATTCCACGCTGCCACTGGGCGCCACGTCTCACTCAGCCAGAAGAGCAACTCGCTTCGCCTATATTGCGACTAAAATCTGTTGATGGGTTGGCAGGAGCAGCACCATCTTCGAGACGCTTCCTTCCGCCTGTGCAGGCGAAGCTATTAGCTATAACACGAAAGTTGTACCTTTTTCGGGCGTAACAGTCGAGCTATGCGGTTGACCACGGTGAATAAATAAAAAAAAGACATATGATGCTTCCGTGCATGTAAGGCTTTTGCAGCTGCATTCGGACGTCAGACGGGATAATTCCTAGCCGGTGCTTCAGGTTACCACATGATTTGTCTGGTCATACAGACTATCAGGCAGATTGTACCGTGATCGATGTGTGGTCGACTCGGCGAGGAATGTGGCCATTGGCTATACATCGCAGCCCCTATTGCTTGCTGACTTTGTTTTGAGAGAGGGCTGTGAAGCGAGAGTTTGATTAGTGGGGCATGGAGGAGCAAGATTCAGCTCTTAGTTGTACAAAGTATAAGACGAAAACGCCGGAGGAGTCTCGGAAGTTGCCAAAGACTTGGAGATCTTTGGGCTCGACGGAAAAGGGGATTAAGTGTTGAGAAGAGTCTATCATGGATAACCCCGAGGTGACTGCTGCATGAGTCTTCGTTGCTTCTTTAACTTTCCGATGCGAAAATACAGACTTCGATCGACCTCGATATATGATCCCTGGATATGTACTGCGAAAAAAACATTGAGATTCTCCTTTCCCTAGGCGTGTGTACCATTGTAGATTGGCTACTCTCATGGTTCAATCATTTCCATTGCCAACATGAGATTTCATATCTGCGGTATATTTAACGTGCTGATACAATCGTAGACCTCCAGGCTGTTCAAAAGTTCGTCCGCTATCAATTGCATCGATCGGGCCCGTTGCTCGGTCAACTACTAGCTCCGAAGCCGCAAAACACTGACGTTTCTTCACCCGCATTTCCAGACGACCCGGACAGCATCGATACAGAGTACAAGTGTCTCTTCCAAGTCAGCATCTCAACTGCGACACGTTTGTTTGCTTTTTTCGCCTTTTACTTTCGCATTAATTTCTCCATCGGCCCGCGATGTCTGTCCGTGGTAAGTTGCAACCCTAAAAAAAAAAAAAAAAAAAAAAAAAACCCGCGCTGCACCCGGACCTTGGAGCTAACATCCCCACCAGTCGTGGCCCGAATCCGACCTACGCTGGGTGAGAAGGAGCTCGAGAAGGACACGATTGTACGCGCCGAAAGCAGTGTGGAAGGCAAGCCCTTCAATGTCGTGCGGATACCGAACCCCAAGAACGAGGCGGAGGAGTTTAGCTTTACGTTCAATGGCGTCTATGACCAGAGTACAACACAAGAGGAGCTGTTCACCAACGAGGGTAGGAGTAGCGGATCTGATCTCCACGCTGGCGCTGATCGAGGATAGTTGCACCACACTTGAAGTCGCTGTTCAATGGCTTGGACGTCATGGTATTTGCATATGGAGTTACAGGAACCGGGAAGACGCATACGATGAGGGGAGGACTGAAGCTTTCCGAGAGAGGGATTATCCCCAGATTGCTGAGTGGCATCTATCGACGGGGCCGGAAAGTGACCAAGGACTCTGGGAACGAGACAGTGGTCACCGTCACATTATCTTATTACGAGATATACAATGATAAGGTATACGATCTCTTCGAAAGCCCCGACAAGCGTTCTCTGGCGGGTCTGCCATTGCGCGAGAAAGATGGGAAGACCTTCGTTGTGGGACTGTCGGAGCACGCTTGCGACGACCTGAAGGATTTCGAGAGACTTTACATCGAGGCCAACAACAACCGCAGTACGGCTGGGACCAAGTTGAATGCGCAGAGCAGTCGAAGTCATGCAATCCTTATGGTCAAGGTAACACAGACGAAGGGGGATGAGACTTTGATTAGTACGGCATCAGCAATCGATTTGGCCGGATCAGAGGACAACCGACGGACGGAGAACAACAAGGAGAGATTGGTGGAATCGGCGAGTATCAACAAGAGTTTGTTTGTGCTTAGCTCTTGTATCGATGCAATTGGGCGGGGCGACAAGAGGATTCCATTCCGGGAGAGTAAGATGACCCGGATTCTGAGTCTCGGGCAAAATAACGGCATCACGATCATGATTCTGAATCTCGCGCCACTGAGATCGTATCATCTGGATACTCTGTCAAGTTTGAACGTGTCGAGCAGAGCAAAGAGAATCGAGGTCCGGGAAATCGAGAACGAGGTCGTCTTCACACAGCCACCGAGGAAAACTGCCCAGCTTACAGGAGGCTCGATGAACCGCCAGCCACTGAGGCCTCTGGCAAATGCCCACAACACACATGCCGCAAATCTCGCTGCTCAGAAAGGAGACAAGCCGGCCAAGGCATTTTCGGTGTATAGCGACAAGAGCAAGACCACAGGGCCACCTCGCAACATAGCTCCTCAGACTATTCGTAGATCAGATTCCTCAAACAAGCGTCCCTCGGAGTCATCTACGAATCCTCGCCCTACGAAGATGGCCCGCCCTAATACAACTGGTATGAGAATTGCACCTGAGCTATCATCGGCCAGAATAGAGGAAATGGTCGAGCGAAAGGTACAAGAAGCTTTAGCTGCCCGCGCACTGGATCAACCAGCTACAGCTCCGACCGAAATCAGTGAAGCAGTCCAGCGCAGACTCGAGGCCCTGGAGAAAAAGATCGAGAGTGGAGAAGCGGAGGATGCCAGAGCTGAAGGGTTGCGGTTCTTGCTAATGGCCAAGCAACACAAAGAGCGAGGCGAAGACTCGAGTGCTCTGAAGATGTACGAGCTGGCGGTCCCGTTCTTCCCAGGGCAAGAGAAGCTACAGAAGAAAATCGATCACCTGAAAGCCAAGATCCAAGCCAAGCGGGAGGACGCAGCTGCGCGAATGCCGCCACCCGAGATCATCGTCAAGCGCTCCGAAATTGAAACCCGTAAAGCCCCAGCAATCATGCCCATCGCTTCTCTCCCCTCCCCTCTAATCTCTTTCGAGATCCCCAACGACGACCCCCCAGCCAAGCAGCGGAGGGCTAAGGCCAGCGCCGACTCCGACGACGAGTTCAACGGCTTCGAAGCAATGTACGAAGCAGACTCCTTCGAAGACGACGACAGCTTCTCCCACCGAACCGCCAAGTCCAAAAAATCCAAACCCAAATCGGCCGCCTCCAGATCCGCTCTGAACGTCTCCTCCGATGAAGCCGACCACAACGAAATGGAGCCCCCGACACCGCGAACCAAGCACCTCCTCGACATCGTGAACTCGCGCAACGTAGCTATGATCAAAGGTCTCAGCGGGGTCGGAGCGAAGAAAGCCCGTGATCTGGTTGAGTATCTCGAGCTGCAGAACGAGGACGAGGGAGGCGAGATCCGGAACTTGCAGCAGCTGATTGCGGTGCCAGGGCTGGGAAAGAGGAGCGTGGAGAGAGCGTACGAGGGAATCGTGACGGCGTTGCTCGTATGAATGAGATGATGGGGATTCTCCGCGTTGTATTATTTGTTGCATCGGTGGAGTTTGTTTGGGTAACACATTCACAGGGTTTTTTGTTGATATGGGTTGGGCTATCGTGGGGGGCAGGGGGGGAGCTGGGCGTTTTAGCAGGTAGTGATTGTTATTGTGTTTGGACTATTCATGGATATACCTTTTTGGACTTTTGAAATGCTGATTCTTTCCTCGTTGATGGCTGTAGCGATATTTCTTTCCCTGATGATCTCTTTCTTCAAGTCTTGACTATTTTTGACTCTTTTTTTTACCGGAACGTATTCTGAATGTCTTTGCTTTTCTCTTTTATGATATTTGCTTGGCTTTTATAATCTCTTTTTTTTTCTGAAAAAAAAAAGGGCGAGTAAGCGAATTGCGGCGAAAAACAGCTAGCTTACCTTAGTCGCAGCTCGAACTTGGCGCATTGTATGTACAAGATGGATATACGAACACATAGCTACAGTACACACTGTTTAATATACTTGTAGATATATGTAAACATGTAAATACCCACCAACGAAACACATAAAAAAGTAAGAGTCAAACAGATAGACAGCCAAACAGATAGACAGAACATATCTCCAAACGAAGAAAGAAGAAGAAGAAGAAGAAGAAGACGATGAGTAAGAAAATAACAACACCAATCCAGCGAGCCCGGGATGGAGCTGGTTAATCTAACGAGCCGAGCCGAGCCGAGCCGAGCCGGGTCTATCTAGCGTAACCTGACTTCAGCCTAGCTCCATCCAGCTTCTAAGTAGCCCTCCTTCCATTTCAGCCGTGTGTATATATAAATATACATACTGTTAGATTGCTTCC